ATTCACAAACTGTTCAGGGATCCCAAACCCACTTTGCGAGGTTGCTAGAACTTGCGGAAAGTAAGGCAGCCCTACCCCAAAGGTACCACGAGTATTCAGGAGGCACAGTACTTGCCCCTTTGTGCCCTCAGTTCTCGTCTCACTTCCTGAGTGGATTGGTCGCAAAACTCCAAACTGTTTGTTTACCGCTAACATGGTCTCCCCAAAAAGTTTAGGGAGTGAGCCATCCTTCATCCTTCAATTACCAACTGAGAGCACTTGGACCTGCACCCTCTCGGCTTTTGCTGGCCACTGCTCTGTATCTCGTCGCTTCGGTGCGATGTGGGCCGTCGCTGCGCGTGCCGCGTCCTTTGGACGCAGAAACCGGAGCGCGGGAGGCAGGGCTTTGCAGCTGCCTCCGAAACGAGAGGGAAAGCAAGGGCCCATAGCACCTAATGACCCCGGAGACCGGGGGTTGATCAAGTTCAGGGGTTCTTAGAATCTCAGAGCCTTTCCGGGATCTCAGGGGGGTTCTAAGGCGGCTTCTGATAGCCTTTTCCAGGGGGGTCGGGTAGGGGTTCCACTCTCTCTCTTGTGAGAACCCCCACCCCAAACACCACATGGCATGCAAAGAACAGGTTCTTCTGCTGTGGACGAAGTCCGCTTCGCACCATTTGGGATGAAGCCCTGCAAATTGGAAAACCAGCAAGCCCATCCACAGCATTTACATCAGCAACTACCATGGAATCTGAAAAGATGCCCCTGACAGACCATATTCCTTGCCAAATCAGCCTTTGGTGGGTTCCATGTCAGCCATCTAGATACCCCGTTCATCATATAAGCGGCCATGGAAGGACAGTACGAGTCAAAAATATGTACCCAAAATGGAGCCCTGGTAAATGGACACATGGACTGACATCTGCGGTCCATTTCCTGGTGGTTTGATTTTGACCCATACCCAAATGGGACAACATGCTGGTTGGTGCACTTCTGGTTTACTTTCTCAAAGCCATCCAAAAGAACGCCCACTAGCTGGGACTCACCGGGATAACCCCATCAAGGAACTCCCCATAGCGCCAAGGAGGGAACCATGGTTGCCTCCATGTAACTCCCTCCACACGCCTCTGCTGAATATACGACTGTATCCAAAATACCGGGGCCTGGACGTACATCATACATATATATATATATATATCTATATTATACATATAATATCAATCTTTAATCAACACCCTCGTGGCTGTCGGGCGTCTGGATCAGACCGGCCACCTTTGCAAGCAAATGTCGCCCTCGTTTGCAGCCACGTTTGCGGCCCGCGACGTGAAGGCTGTTGTTGCCTTCTCTCCCTTTCAAGCCTTTGGCTCTCTATGTGACGCCCCGCGCAGCTGTCAAACAAGCGAGCTTCTCGTCGTACGTTCGTATGAGGTCGCAATACACAAACACACAAACACACATTTTGGTTTCTGGGTGTGTCTCCAAATTGGGGATGCCTGAAAATTGCCGGTTTCCTTTTGGTCATGGCAATGGAAAGCCAACTGCAACAGTCCATTCGTGCAAATGTGGGGGAATATTCCTATGGAGTGTTTGGGTACAAATCAAACAAATGCAGCTGGCTCGTTGTCTCCGCTCTAAAAGGACGCCCGAGGCATGTGACAACTTGGGCGCGGAACGGGGACGCGCGGAATCAATCGCTGATGCCTCTCGTGCCTTGGCTGCGAAACCGAAATCCCAAGTGAGTCACAATCAAAACCTGATACAAGAATGGTGAACCCAGCGCCATGCTTCAAGAATTAGAAAGGCGGAATTCCGCAACTATGTCCGGCTGGGACTGCCTCTTACTAACCATCATCTACCCAGGTTTTGAGCACGTGGCTCAAGTGGTCATTCCCAGAGTCTCCTGGCTTCGGCTTTCAATGCCAGACCCAGATCTCTCCATTGGACACCCAAGAGGTGTTTCGGCAAAGCCTGGTTGTTTGAGGGCCCTAAATCAATCGGGAGCCTCTGGGTCGAATAACATCCATTTGCTTCAGCCCCCGGGACAAAGACACAAATGTGTAATAGTGATAAATTCCCATTAACACCAACAGGGCAAAATAACAAACTGTTCTTAGGTAAATGGAAGATCATTTTTGTGTGTTCAATCTTGAATGCGTTTTAGCGGCTGTCGCCAAACGGTTCTGTGTTCAAACGGTTCCCTTCGCCCTCCACCGGGTGGTAGGCCCTAAACACAAACTTTGCTTAAACTGAACGAGCCAGAATCGTTTTTCTAGACCACGCCACGAGAATCATCTACTTGTCTTTTCTACAATTCTTCCAAAACCAGAGGGTCGGGATACCTAAGTCAACATCCTACATCATCTACATTTACATCGTGATGAGCTTGTTCTACCCTGTGCGCTCGCGGCAGAAATCGTGGACTCCGCACAGCGAGGATCAGAAGTAGACTCTTGGAAGCTTCGCCACCCAACTTGTTTCTCTAATTGGACTCGCTTGGTTGAGATCGCCTCCCATAAGATCTTCCGAAGACGCACCCTCTTCTAAATCGCACAGGCCTAGAAACAAACAGGCAACCTTGTACAACCTTGACTAAAACAAACCAAAACTACACCAAAATTCAAGAACCAAAAGGTGGTTGGCGTTTAGCAAGTGAGTCTTGACCACTCGATATCCCTTGACTTTGTGAGGCCCCGGCCAAAGTCTGCGCCGACACCGGGACCTTAGCGGCAGCGCAGCGGGCAGCGGAGCCAGACTCAGCCAAGATCAGCGTCTCAAAATAGGAGGCAAAAGCCCCCTTTTGATGGTGCTTAAGGCAAAAGCAACAGGAACCATCCTACAAAACGCACACACACATATTAATACCTGAACGCACATCCAGAATGTCCAGCAACTTGCAAATCAGGAAGCTGCTTTGCACAGTCTCACGTTCATGGAAAGTGGCTCAGACACAACACAGAGACAACATGGAAGGAACTGTGAAATGATTCGGTGCGTCGGAGCCGTTGAATGGGGTCTAAAGGGTCGGAACAGTTAACTCAGATGCCCAGTGGCCATGGGAAAATGGCATCTGTTTGTTTCGCTGGTTGACTTTTTAAGGAATCGGAACCCTTCCCCCAAAAAAAATGGAAAACAGGCAGCAACCCACTGGGCTGGGCTGAATGGAAGTGGTGATTCCAACGGCTTGCGCGTTCCAAGAAGCCGTTCGAAGCGCTGCACTCCGAGGTCCCGAGGCTCCGGCCCCCCGCCTCTTGCAGCATGCCTCGAGCCATCGCCCGAGTCTGCGAAAGTTCCAACTTGAGCCCTGACTGGGGTCCAACTTGGGGACATAAGCTAAGGCTCCCGAAGAAAGCTAAGGAACCCAAGTTGAACCCGAAAGGGGCTCTCAACTACGCACCTTACTTGTACCTACCCCCTTCAGGGAGTCCAGAATCAAACCTGTTCGTCGTTTGGGAAAAATCGCGGGCTTTGCAATAAAACGCCAAACAGTGAGGGTTCAATCGCGTGAACATCGTGCAAATTCACAGAGCCAGAAAGGGCACTCCAATTAAACGACACTCAGGACGGGTACGCGCAGACTAATACCTTTTGAGGTCACGCTAATTTTCGACGAGACATGGCTTCTACACTTTACGGGGCTTCCTTTTGATCCTGCGAAACAGGCTCGAAGTATAACAATTCTGCTCCAAAGCTCTCGGATCGTCCCTCCCAACCATCCCAAACCCAACCTAACCTCCTGAAACTTGCGCCTACGCTGGCATCTGAGATATTCTTGCCCTGGTAGAGCATGAGAACATGAAGCTGGTACCTGGCGATCCACCCCTCCCATTGGCGCCTCTAGGAGTCAGGTGCCAAGGCCATCCTGCCGACTTTTATCTTAGCCTCTCCGCAGGAAAAGAATCGAAAGACACCCCAAAGAGGCGACCCTACTGCCCGAGCCACCGAGGCACTGTTCATGATGACCCTGTTCAATTCAGTCTTAGGAGCTCCAGGGCCTGGGCAAATGAAAGCTAAACCGCCCAAAGCAACCATTGAATGAAACGTGTCTCAAAGACATGGACATCCGTGTTCCTCGTTGGCTTTACGCTCGTAGGGGAAAAGGGGTACCCCTACAAAAAATAAGAAGCACACCCACGCACACACACACACACACACACACACACACGTCCACGCAAAAATTTGCGCCAGGGACGAGTTCGTCATCTTCCGGAGCTCCGCGTTCTCTCTGAGCAGGTCGTAACCTCGGGCGAGCGAAACAAAAACGTCTTTCGCGCGGCTTCCTTTAAGCGCCCAGACCGGGGTCCGGGGATAGCCGTTGATGGTATTTGAGGTGTCCAGAGTCCAAAGAGTTCGACGGGGTGGGGGATAGCCTTTGATGGTATTTGAGGTGTCCAGAGTCCAAAGAGTTCGACGGGGTGACAAGTGGAACTAGGAACTTCGTCGCTCAACATTCAGAGAACGACACGAAATGCCAGAAGATCCTGACATAGTTTTGGGATCCAGCTACAACGGGTTTTGGTGGATCTGTTGATTTCAACTCAGAATCGCCTTAAGGAATCACCCTTCCAACAAACATGACTCACTTTCGTCGAGCCGATTGAAGCTCACACTTGGGTTGCCACTTTCGAGTGAGATGATCATGTGCCGGCGAGAAATCAATTCTTCACTGAATCCCTTTTCCCGGAGTCTGGTATGTCCTTTACTTGAGGTGCGCTTCGGGTTTCAAAGCCAAATTTGGTTACCTTGAAGGGACACCTTGAGGGCCCCATTTGTCAGGAGTTCCAGCTTTTGTTTGAGACGAGAGAAAGAACCTCCCGTGGTTCTACCGATGGGACACTCAGGGTGGCTTTACAAGAAAGACACCAAAACACAACACCAAAGCAATGGGTGTCATGTTGTGGCTAAACAAAAAGCTGGATCTGGCAAGCCAGACAAAACCAAAGCTGGCAAGCAAAACAACAACAAAAAACAATGGATCAGGCAAACAGCCATGCACTCCATCCGCTTCCTTTTTCACCGGCGACCTCTCACACCGCGAGCTCGAGCACGGCGAAGTCGCCGGGAGCATCTCCTTCTCGCGGCGAACTCAGCGGGCGGGCGGCGGCGGTTGATGCAAAGGCTATGTGAGATGGATGGCAAATGGGTGTGGCTCAAATTGATGCACCAAAATGGCACCTGGGCAAATGGAAGCAACGACTACCTGCGTAACCCTAGTTCGATTTTGGTTTTGAGCCATATAATTAACCCCTGTTTATTAATAGGAGGTGTTTCCTCCAAAAGTGATGATTCCCCACTAAACCAAGGGACACCCCTATTATAAATTAGTAAACATGGGATGATTAACATGGGGGCAACACTAGTTGTACGACCAAAGCCTGTCAGTGTTTTTGGGGCAGAACACCAGCCCAACCAGCAACCTAGTGGTGAGCTCCGTAGGCCTGTCTGATGCACCAGGCTGTGTCTGACGCAGCTGCCCAACCACCTGTCTGGCGTGCTGAGACTAGCCTGAGCACCCAAGCTAGGCCAGCCCAGCCGCAGGCCCAGCCCAAACCCCCCTGCCGTGCGCGTGGGATTCCCATTCTGGCTCGAATGTGCACGCAAGCAGCCGATGCCCGACTCCGACCGATCCACGCTTGAAAAAAACCCCACGCCAACACAGCCGATCGAGACTGCCGCGCGCGTTGCACAGCTGCGTTTTGGTTGTCGAGACTTTCTGCGCAACTTCCGCCCATGACATCCACTGCCCCAGCATGCAGCGCCACTGACTCTTGGCTCCATGACTCACTCCTTGTCCTAGGCATCGCCTTACCCTTGCCCATGACATCCATTGGTCCAACGACGCCAGAACCTGTCCGTTCCTGAATCGCCACTTGACCAGCTCTGCTTGCAGTCGAACCACAGACGCCGCGCGCTCGGCTGGGCCGAGGCGGGCAGCGCTTTGCGTTTACAATTAACATGTTTCTTGGGCCCAGCCACAAGGAAGTGGAGATCAAGCAAAATGTTTGGGGTTGGACAATGACCTGGTCTCCTTTTCGTTGGACGCAAAAACCCGCCGACAGGACCATGCAGGTCCTTGATCATCTCGCTCGCCCTCTTCCGGCGCGCGAATCGAGGGAGCCGCGTGGCCGGCTATCAAGCCTCAGGGATTTGACCCATCTTTCTACCAAACTGGCCGCAAAGGACACCCATGCCCCGCTTTCTTTGTCGCTTGATCTAAGGAAACCCGCCCCCAAACAAAAAGAACCAGCACTGGAGAGCTGAGTTGATTGCTTCATACTGTTTAATCAGGCCTGTTGAAAATGATCTGCCGGAGAGTACAAAGTTGCCCAGTGGCCAAGGTTCTCTTTTTACAGATACCTGTTCTCCCCCTCTCCAAGAAAAGGTGACACGGGTGCCGGATACCGGAGAAGTCAGCACCCCAGCTGTTATTTGCCTCAGTCACCTCTGAACTGGTTCATCGCTCAATATCTCGAGACCTTTTCGGTATGGATAAGTAGGACCTCAAGACTACTTTGAAGTCAAAAAAACCATGACACATGTTCCCGCTGACTTGAGTCACCAATAATGCGCCGATCAGAAAGTCAGAGGCAACTGGAACAATTACCCCCCTTCAAAACTTGCAACTTGAAAATGACGCCCCGTAGCCATGTTTGACGATTCGAACCGTTAAGGCCCTGCCTTCCACGAGGCGCAGCGTGCACGGCGCGAAGCTGGCGATCCGGCTCTCGGCTGCCTCGCTTTGGCCGGCTATCACCTCGTGCACGACTATCTGGCGCACGACTATCTCTGTAAACTTCCTTGACGTCTCGACGATCAGTTTGCACCTTGCGATTGGCTCCAAGCTTGACATTGTCATCCCTGCGGGATTTGCCAGCTTCCATGCCATCTCTGCCGTCCCGGAGATCAGACATGCGACCATCCCTGCGATCATCTCTCGGGGCACCCCTGCGGTCATCCATGCGGTCGTCTCTGCGATCGTCCCTGCGGTCGTCTCTGCGCTCGTCCCTGCGGTCATCCCTGCGGTCATCTCTGCGATCGTCTCTATGGTGATCTCTGCTGTTATATCTGCGTTCATCTCTGGGGTCATCTCTACGGTCATGTCTGCCCATATATCCGCGGTCATCCCTTCGCCCATCCTCTGGGTAGCTCTTTGTGTCACTTGGCCGGTCCCTGCGCCCTTCATTGACACGGGAATCCATGCGTCTTGCTCTTAGGTCGGCTTCCTCCTGTTGGCCTCGATGCTTTTCTTGCCTGACGAGGTCGTGCACTCCTCTCCCCACAAAACGATCAGAACCTGGCGTGCCTCAACCATCTTGGTTTCAGATGCACTCCCCTCTGATCTAGGCAGATGTTTCTTCAAATAGGGTGGGCCCACTGGGGAAACCTGTCCGGAAATCCGGCGAAATGTACACGTCCATGTATGACCCCATGGCATTTCATTTGGCTGACTTCCCCAAAACTCTGACAGAGTATGGCATTCTTAATTGTTCAGGAAGCCAGAAAAGGTCCCTTGGTACGCTTTGCGGATGTTTTGCTTTTGTTTGAGTAAAAGTGAGAGGGGTAAAGTACCTCCTGAAGGTATCCAAGGACTGTTGGATCCAAACATGGCTGGCTTCCCATAATCAAGCAATGACCAGCTGTAAATTTTGCCAGTCAGCAGCGTGTATGATCGATCATACACGGACCTACATTCAGCCTTTAAGTCTTGCAATTTGCCACTGAATGAGGGTAGCATGTATTCAGGGTTGCTTCCCCGGGGTGTGGGAAGTACAACCTGCTACGGAAAATGCTTAAGTTGTTGTTTCATGAGTTGCGGAATTTGCTAGGAACGGTTCTTTGGCAACACCGCAACTCAGACGGGGTCAACCAAGACGCGACCTCCCTTGGGCTTGGAACTTAACAGCCACTGACAGCCGGCTGCACCGGCAACAATTATACCCAAACTGCAGGCCAAACTGTGATGATTAAGATTTCAACAGCATAAGGCATTCTAGCCCTTGCTTCCTGTCAGATACCATGAACATGTCATCAAATGCTTCCCAACTCCACCTCGGAAGTTAGCAAATACAGCTTGCATGGGCACCAGCTCCAATGCGGCCAAGGTGCTCCTTGTTACCGTAAAACCTCTCATCTCGCCTCTCTTCGCCGCGTCCATTTAGTTGATCTCTCGGGTCATCGCTTCTGGTCTGTCGGACATCTTGGCGAGAGTCTCCATATCCAGACCGCTGATCTCGTCCGTCCTCTCGATGGCCGTCACGACGATCGTCTTGCCGTTCTCGGCGATCGTCTCGACGATCATCGGGGCGTGCGTCTCGACGGTCGTCTCGACGGTCATCGGGGCGTGTGTCGCGACGGTCGTCTCGACGGTCATCCCGGTGTGCATCTCGGCGCTCATCTTGACGGTCGTCTCGGCGCTCCTCCCGGCGGTGGTCTTGTCGCCGATCCTCTCGCCGATCGTCTCGACGCTCCTCTCGGCGGTCATCTTGTCGCCGATCCTCTCGCCGATCGTCTCGACGATCATCGCGCGGATTGTCTCGCCGATCGTCGTGTCGAACCTCTCGACGATCATCCCGTCGGTCGTCTCGGCGGTCGTCTCCGCGGTCATCTCGCCTTAAATCAACAAATCAGGCATTCCGCTCGACTGCTATATGAATACCCAGTATGATGCTGCACGAATTACGAGTCCGATACAGGCAAGACAATGACTGGCTCTCTTTGCGTCGGATAACTTTTGGTCATGGGGACCCAACTTCCGATCCCATCTGGCGGTCGTGAAGCTGTTTGATTAATTGGCCGTAGGCAGTCAACAACCCCCACCTGCGTGACCGGGATCTCGAGCTAGCTCGGGCTGGTCGGTTCAAGAATGATCGCGAATCCTGACGAGGGTGGAGAGCCATCCGGCGAAGTGAGTTGACTACACAATTTGAAAGCCACTAATAAGTTGTTCCAGCATAATAGTTGTAATTTGCAATCGATCTGAACCATTCGTCGGACCTCTATTGATTCACGCAAACATGATGCTCTTGCTTCCTCATGATGAGACACGGCTGTGAGTGCACCATGCAAAAGCTTGATATGGGGGCAGTAGGTCTTGCAATGGTCTACTGAGTTTACCCTGTGATGCTTCAGAAAACGGCAACTACAAGTCAGATCCTGTCCTGATGTTTCTCTGCGTATTTCTGTGCCTGTGCCTGTGTCTGCATCTGTGTCTCTATTCATTCCTATTAAGTTGAGGCCCCTCTACAGTGGATCTCACAGCAGCGGGCCCACAACGGACGCCCCAATAGGCACTATTGGCTGGGTGTGTGTGTGTGTGTGTGGCCGTTTGTTGTAATTCGATGTCTAGATCTGGCAGCTACTTGCTGAAACAAATCTTTCCTCCAGCGCTAAGCAGCAACGTTCAGCTGTAGGAAAAGACACATCCGCAGGGTGCGGGGCTTTGGTGATGATATCCACTCTGGAATCATGTATGAGTATAGTCCTCCAGATCATGTCAAGGTGCACTGACTCCATCGTCAGTCCAGCATCTCGCGTGAAATGGATCAAATCTTCTGCGTGTGTTCTCAACATCCGAGCAAACATGGCGCAACCCTCTTGAAAACAGAAGGGCGGCCTTTGTATTCACCCATGCCAGACTTGGACAAAGTTAGTTTCAGAGTCTGGCTCTGTAGAATCTTTCTTCACACAAGAAACATATCATTTGTTCGCTCACCAGGAAATTCTAACCCGGGTCCAAGTACAGTAGGTACTTCAGCCACCCCTCAAAGCCAATCTTCAAAGGGGTACTTGAAGCTTTGCATGGCCAAAGCATCCAATCAATTGAACAAGCAGACAGGCCCAACAAACGATCAAACCAAACGCAACCAATGGACCACCACCCATCCTTAGATCTAACACCATGCCTCAACCCATTTTTTTCCTACAAACCCCAAGTTGCACCAGCGACCGGCCCTTAAAGGGGGCCGGTTGCCGGGCCGAGCCCGGCCGGGCGAGCTCCGGTCCTCCTTGTTGTCCGGCTGCCACTTCACAAAGCCCGGCCTGGAGCCTTTCGGCCCCTCGCCCGGCTTCCAGTCCTCAGCTTTGCAGCCAGAACCTAGGCGTCCTCTTTGGCTGCTTTGGTCGAAAAATGGAGGGGTTTCGATGCCTGGTTTTTACCTGGTGGTTTTTCATCATCTACCAGGGAAACCCATCTATTTACCCTGAAAGGACACCTATGACCCAGAACCAAAGAAAAAGAACGAAGAAGGCGGAAGGAATTCCGCAGCGATTTTATGGTTGGGATCGTCCCTTAAGCTTCATCTACCCGGGTTTTGAGCAAGTGGCTCAGCTGGAGAATATCGCGGGGGAAGCCGCGATCTTCTGTTTGATCCAACCACACACCAGCTTAAAAAACCAACTTCCCTGCAAACGGGTGGCTGGGGCGGCCACTTGTTTGTTGTGTTGTTGCCCCTTTTTTTTCGCGCCGACCAGAAGCCAGAAACTACAGAAGCAAGGTGAACATGAAAGGTTGAAGCGCTGATCGATCGCCCTCGACAGAACCTCGATACCGGAAAGAGCTTCGGGTGTTTGTTCTCCCTCATCCCAGACTTAACGCCCCAGGCGTGTATAACCCAAAGACCATTGAGACGCGACCTCGCCCATGAATAGGACCAAGTCTACATCCCAAGATGATTCACTCTCCCGAAGTACTGGGACAAAAACTATCCAATGGAACTCGAAGCGAGGACCCTGGAAGTCTCTTTGCCTTTGCTTGTAAAAGGAATCGACACGTTTTGGGTTCACGCAGAGATTGCCAAGTGGGATCGCCCGAGTTCAAAGGTGGGCGTGTGAGGCATCTTATGGACTAGCTTGCTGGAACGACCATGGACCCGTCAGACCACGGATTTTCAGACACCCCAGCAAGAAGGTCCATGGAGCGCGTGTCGGCGCCAGGTTTCCAAACCAACGGCATGCAACCCTTCCGAGGCGCGCCCACGATCTGAAGGGTGATGCCCTGCCTAGCGACATTGGAAACCACCTAAAGCGGGCGGCTTCTCTTTGGTTTCCTTTGAAGTCAAGCAGCCAGCAATAAACTGGTGCACAAAAAATCAACCCCATGGGGTGTAGCTCGCCAAAACGAAAAGTTGCCCTACTTAACATGGATTTTCGCAGAGGAATGGGAGCAGCTTGTTGGTTTGCAGGCGAGTATCTGCTTTGTGTATCTCTTTGAAAAGGTATCTTGTTGAAAGGCATCTCTTTGGAAAGGGGTCACTTTGGCGATCCTGTAGAACAGGTACGTCAAACACCCCCCCCCACAAGTTTAAAACTGCAAGACCCCCCTTCCACACCTAACTTCTCTACCGAAGGAACCATGCATGGGAAATGGTCCCTTGCTCAGCCTCATTCAAACGTTACTTGGGATGGGTTGGGGGCGTTCCTTCTGATTGCCAACGCGCAGGGCGGGTGATCGACTCGAAAGTGCAAGGGGATTGGAGTGCACCGAACACATTGCGGCAGCTTGGCAAGGTTCAAGCAACTTCCTTCCAGCAGGGAGCCCCTTTGAAAGGGTCCCTTTTGAAGTGCCCCTTGATGGGTGGTGCAAAAACTAAGCTGCAGGTCATATCCCCAACTTCAACCCCGGGAACATGTCCGAGACCACGGAACCCTACAGCCGCTCCGACCCGGGGCTGCTGTTGGGCGCAAAAGCAAAGCTCAAGTTGCCGAGTTGCCAGGTGGTACTGAGAGTCAGCCCTTTTCTCAATGCTGCCACCGCCCTCTCTGCATCCTGAACGCGCCGCCCTCCCGAAAGCGAGCCATTGACCCACCGCGGGGGTCCTTTTGCTTTCCCTCTCGATCAAAGCAAAGGCTCTGGGTGCTTGGTTGCCCGGTTTCCTTTTCAGACACAAAGGGTGGCTTGGTCACAAGAAATCCATCCCTGTCAAAAACAAAGAGGGATACAACGATTCAGCTGACTCGGATCACCTTCAGAAAAGATTGATACGCCCTCAAGCATTTGCCGGGTTCCCGTGCTTTGCTCCCGCTTCTGGATTTTGCAAGTGAGCGATGAAAGCAACCTTGTCCACAAACGTCTTTTAGAGGCGGTGTTCCAAGCAATTGATCGTTTCCGGGGGTGTGGCACACCTCTTTCTTGCTTGTTCCGTGTAGGGAATATGAACAAAAAATCGGTAGCCGCGGCAACGATTT